AATCTATGGGGAAACCTGAATGTTAAAAACAGCGCTCGCCGATGTCAACCCGGGCGACCACCGAGGAAACGCAACACATGGGCCGACCCAACTGCTACCTGGGTCAGACATTATGGTACAGACCATATATAAGGGCCAAAGGCCCCCAAAGTCAGCCCCCTCCCCAACCCCGGGAACCACCACGTCAGGCCCCGGGGGCGAGTCGTCCTCCAAAGATCCGGCCTTACAAGAAAAAGCCGGGGCGGCCGAAAGAACAGGAAGAGAGCGGGGCCCCACTGGTCAGTCCCCGGAGCTACAGCTGGAGGAACTGACTCAAACGCCTCCAACGCAACCCAGGAAGGGGCAACCCCAAAAACTGCCCGAGTCTCAAACCTTCAAACCCTGCCCCGACCCCGAAGCCCTCAGATTCCTAGGAGCTGGAAGCAGGGGGGTTGGAGGGGACTAAATCAACCACAGTAGGGGATGAACAAGGAGGGGGGGCCAACTGAACCTAGGCTGAAGCGACCAAAACGCCCAAGTCCGGATCACGAGAAACAAAACAGGGCAGCCTCGGGGCATCCGGGGAAGCAACCAAACTAGTGCGTTGCAACAACCTATCTAGCAACTCGCGAGCCGCCTGCACCCGAAGAATGTCAACAAATAGGGTGATTGGAGCCACAAACAAGCAACAAAGCTCGCAGGACTCGAGGTCGAATGTGTCACCGATCCAACAGGCAGCATGACGGAGACAAAAACTAAGAGCGTCACCCAGAGACAAGGGGACAGAGCAACCCTCAAACTCACACAGAGCGAGAGGAGACGCAGGGGTCTCACCCAGTGGACCCGAGTGCCCCCGTGGGATTTTCCAGGGCCCCTAGACTGGGTCTGCAAAGGGTTATCCCAGGCAGGGTATGTTAACCGGGACCCCTAGCTACCAAGCAAACTGCTAAAAGCTGAACTCACGGGACGTGTCCACTCACGAGGGCGAAGCAAGGGGTGCCACCACGCAAACAACCCTAATATAAGGGAAAGGGAGACCACACGGCAGATACCCCCCCTCCACCAGGCAAAAACAAAAACAAAAAAAAAACCTCGCAAGAGGACAGTGAGGCCGCTGTTAAAGGTGAAAACTAGCTACGCAGTACCCCGCGCCCGACCACTGCAATAACTACCACTTACCCCAAGGCGAACAAGGGTGAAATAACCCCAAACACTCGGGGCAGCCAAGCGCCAAGCAGCGAAAGGCCAGCAGAAGAAGACCTGAGGTGACTTGTGGAAGGCCACACAACTATGCACGATCCCATCAGCCGAGGAACTGGGGTGTGGATCGCCGGCACGAGGGTCTGGGGCTTCCCCTTCTCTGTCCCGTGAAGAGGGGGAGCTGCACAGACATGTGGCGTGGCTCGTGTGATGTCATGCTTGTTTGCTCATTTTTCTTTTGGAGAGTTCTGTCCACTCGTTTGACGATTTTCGTTGTTAACCAGAATAGGGTTGTCTTGTGGCGATTACCTCTCTGGGTGCCTGTCCCAGTCGATGGCAGATATAGAATGCTACAAATCACATGTGCATTTCTATTGGCCATTGCTCCTCGTGCCTCTGTGAGAGAGCCATATTCTGGCTCATGGTCCCCAATAGGCCTAGAATTCCACCCACATCGACTGATGGAAAATAATTAGGGTATCCATATCAGCCATGGATAGCTCCGGGGAGCCGTAAGGGCTCCCCCCAGAAAAATAAGGAAATTTAATTGTGGGGTGAATATAATTTTGTGATAAGAGGCTCAAGGGTGAATGAAATACTGTAACCCCGCGATTATCCGGGATTCGAACATCTGGAAAACGCCCTTATACGGCCAAAATCGTGACCGGATAAAGTTATCACAATATCCAGCCAAAATGGCCACAGGAACCAGATAAAAGCTGGTTTGGCCAGATACAATATCGGGGCCGGTTAATTTGCTGCCGATGTTACACTATCCAGACAGCTGGATAATCGTGGAATTGTCCATATATGAAAACCATGAGGCGGGCCATACCGTATTAATCCCGTCTGCCCGTGACTCGAGGCGCATGGTGTGGGAGGGGGTGGGGTGGGTGGGTAGTGTCGGGAGAGAGGGGAGCGTTAGGAGGGACCACCTGGGTGGGGAGCGGCCTATACACTACAGTACAGGAATTACCCTTGGTTTTTAAACAATTCATCATAGCCAAAATAAAAAAAAAATACTAGTAATTATGTAATAAAAAATACCATACAAGTTTCCTAAAAAACAATTTGCACAGGCTGAAGTTTCCTACAAAAATATATTTTTTTTATTGCTGGTGGCCTTCGTAACGTGCCTCCTCCCTGCCCCGACTGGACCCGTCCAGGCCTGGTCAAGTCATGTGCTCTCTACCCTCGTGTTACACTCGCGCCATTAGTGAAATATTTTTTTAAATAACTTTGTTATTTTGATAGTAACTTTGAACATTTTTGGCCAAGACTATGTCTGGTAGCAGCATCAATCGTTCTGGAGGTGTTAAGAGGAAGAAGGTTGTCCTAACAATTAAGGACAAGTTACATGTTATACAACTTTGTGAACATGGCCGGTCTACTTCAAGTGTTGCCAAGGAATTTAATATAGGCACTAGTATTGTTTCTGATATAAGGAAACAAAAAGAGAAACTAATGAAATTCATTTCAACCTGTGAAAGTGAAGGTGCAAGCACTAGCATAGGGTGTGGTAGAAAAACTTCGACGCATGTACAGTTGGATGAGGCTGTGTACAAGTGGTTTGCTCAGCACCACACAGCTGGCGTGACAATTCGCGGCCAGAAATACAAAATGCTGCAAGCAGGTTTACTGCAATCCTTGGAATAAAGGATTTTGAAGTGAGTGAAGGGTGGGTTGCAAGGTTCAAGGGTAGGCACAATATTGTGAAGAGGAAAATTGTCGGTGAAAAATTAAGTGCAGATGAAAGCAGTGTAGAACCATTTAAACAGAAATTAAGAGCATACATTGTGGCAAATAATTTACATTCATATCAAATTTATAATGCAGATGAAACTGGGTTGTATTGGAGGAGTTTACCAGAAAAAACTCTAGCAATGAGGAGTGAGGGTTGTGTGCCAGGATGTAAGGTTTGCAAGGACAGGCTCTCAGCCATGATGTGTGCGAATGCCGACGGCACAGACAGAATCACGTGTGCAATTGTTGGCAAATCTAGAAACCAAGAGCCTTGCAACATTGCATGGACAGACTGCCAGTCAAATACTATAGCTCACAAAATGCATGGTTTACACAAGAGATCTTTCTTTCCTGGTTTCATGACGTGTTCTGCAGGGAAGTTCGTGCCTATCAGTTAATTAAGAAACTCAAAGTAAGGCCAAGCGAAGTTCGGGCTTTGCTGCTGCTTGATAATGCGCCTGCCCACTCCAAAATTGACACGTTAACCTCACAAGATGGCAAGATAACGTGTATGGCACTTCATCCTAACACAACCTCTCTCATTCAGCCTATGGATCAGGGAGTTATCTGTGCCACAAAGAGGTTGTACACCAAAAACATGCTAAACGAAGTTTTGGTGGTTTTGCCCCTTCCGCAAGATATTGAACTCGGTGTGGATAACAGGGCTAAAAAAACTTCAGAATTTGAAGAACTATACAATCAAGGAAGCCATCTTTAACTGGGCCAAGGTGTGGAGTGAATTACAGGAATCGACTTTGAAAAATTCCTAGAAAAAACTCCTCACGTCTACGTTCAGAAATGAGGAGGATGCAGAAATGGATTTTGAAGGATTTACAGATGAAAGCCATGGAATGTTTAGAAATGCCGGCGAAAACTTAGAAAGGCAGAATGTGGTTGATTGGCTTGAAAAAGATGCCAATGACCCAAGATATGGTGTGATGAGTGAAGACGAGATTCTCCAGTCTATTACTGGTGAGGTCAACGAAGAGGATGAAGAAGGAAGTGAAGAACCAACACCAATGACCACGAAATATAGTGAACTCATGTCTTCTGTTGACTTGTTAATTAATTTTTCATCAAATTGTGCTCATCCAGAAGTTGGAAACATGTATCAATACCTGTGGCGAACAAAAGAGCTGATCATACAACTGGCCAGTGAACACAGAAGGCAAGCTACACTTGATTCTTATATGGTGCGAAAATCAAGCCAAGCGCCTTCAACAAGTGAGGGGGCACACGCAACCCAAGCGCCGTCAACAAGTGAGGCGTCACAGGCAAGCCCAGCGCCTTCAACAAGTGAGGCGTCACAGGCAAGCCCAGCGCCTTCAACAAGTGAGGCTTCCGCAGCTGACAGTGAAAACTATCTTTGCTTAATGAACTGTACAGTAATTTTAAGTGTTAATTTTAGTGTTGTGTTAGTATAAGTTACGTAAATTGTAAAGAATTTTTAACTTCAAGATGTGTGGCATCAATCAAGAAGACGTACAACAACAAGGTAAGCTGAGGTTTCTAGTAGAATACTTAATAATTATATGTGGCAAGGCAATTCAAATTATGTTGTTTGTAGTATAAAAATAGTTGGAAATGGTTAGTTTTGGACTCGTAGGTGAAAAAGTACCATTATCGGAAAAATGTAATAATCCGGCTGGGGGTACTTCCCATATACAGTAGTCCGGATGATCGAGTGGAGACAGTAATTTAAGAAGCACTGTAAGGTAACTTAGATCACACAACCCGAGGAGTAGAAGCCAGCTGGTTATCATACCTGGAGCAAACCTGGAGAGGGTTTCGCTAGTTCTGCTACTCCCCGAGCCCGGCCTAAGGATTTGATAACTTGGTCCAACAGGCTGTTGCTTGGAGCGGCCCACAGGCCCACCTCCACCTCAATTGGTTGGTCCAGTTGGAACAATAACTACACTGCATTCACCTCAGAACAATAACTACACTGTACTCACCTTAGAATAATAACTACAGTACACTGTACTCACCTTAGAATAATAACTACAGTACACTGTACTCACCTGAAAACAATACAGTGCACTAACTTCATAATATTAACTACAGTTCACTGTACTTGCCTCCTCCTGAGAAATTTTAATTTCTTCCAAGATCTTCGATAAATGAAACTCTTTAATGGGCATTTTTCTAGCCTCACTGAAGGTCATGTGTCGTAGTAAAATGGGCGTTCCGAATGTCAGGGCATCCATATCCTCCGTTGCTACTCCATACACCTAGAAAAAAAATAAAAAACCAGCATTGAATGTAATGAAACGCCATTTTCTGGGCGAGCCCCTGAGGCTCCCTGGAGTTATCGGGCTAATATATGATATATTAATCTAGGGCATTGGTCAATAGAGTTCAGCCTACTGGGGACCACGAGCCAGAACCTGGCCCCCTCGGACAGGCACAAGGAGCAATAGCCCCTGGGACCTGCCCCCTATACTCACCTGTCTGTGCTTGCGGGGGGTTGAGCTTTGGCTTTTTGGTCCCTGTGGTTGGGGGGGGGGGTTATTACTTATCTGTTGTCGATCAGGGTTAGGCACCCCAGATAGGCATAACAAAACACACCCCACATGGTAAGAAAATTGCAACCGAAGACCAAACAGGGAGGAAGAACTCTTCCAAATTTTTAGGAAACCAGTTAACCTTTAAATGGCGCATGGCTATATACCATTTGACACCCACAGGCCCATAAAAAAAAAAAAAAAAAAAAAAAAAAAAAATTCTTCCTAACCTGTTAATTTGTGTTCACTGACCATGGGAAAAATAATAAAAAAATCGTAAGTGGCATATATTGCCCCTATAAGGCGGGGAAGTCTGGCAAAAAACAGGCGCTGACTCAGCGTGCGTCCCAGGCGGTCTGTTGTTCACCAGCTGTCAGGATGGAGTTGCCACAAAGCGATAATTACCTAATTATTTCAATGTCTCTGATTGATTTTTCATAGTTTTTTTGCTGTAATATTATTCAATAGTGTGTAGTGTGATATATTTATATAATAAAATGTATAATAAAAATATAATAAAATTCATCACTGTACTTAAAAATATAGTGTGCATATTGTTGATTCAATAATGTTCATCAAACAGTGCACAAATACTTTGTCAGTTATTACACTATATACACAGGTTATATATAAGTATCTGCATGTTTTGTTCACCATAATGAACCACTAAGTTGCTATTATGAGTCAAAAAGTAACGAGGAGTGACCGCCACACACCAGCCAGCCACTGGTGTGTGGTACAAGGACGTGCCGAGTACAATGAGTGAGTTGCCCGGGGATCAGTGGCGAAAGGGAATACGGTACTTATAACTCCTTCTCTCAACTCCTCACTCGCCCACATTCTCCTCCCACCATACTGTTTTTGCTTTTATTCACTATATACAGATGTTATATATAAGTATCTACATTCGTGTTCACCACAACGAACCATTAAGTTGGTATGCTGAGTGGTAGCTGCAGCCCGCCACTGGCTGCCATCCCTCCCTTCCTCACCCCACCTGACTTGCCACCATTCTCCTCCCACCATACTGTTTTTGCTTTTATATACAGACGTTATATATTAAGTATTTACATGTTTTGTTCACCATAACTGTACATCTAAGCTTGTATGGTGAGTAAAGGCACAAAGACGTAGCTACTCACACAGTAAGCTGGTGGCTGCCGCCCTCAAGGCCAGACGCACTAATATTTCTCCTCCAACAATACTGTTTGTGGTGTTGTTATGCTATATACACACAGTATAAAAATATCTACCTGTTTTATTCACCATACTTGTGCAAGTAAACTGGTATGGTGCCCAAAGACCATCGTGGTCACCAGTAAACAACATGATAAGTTGTGCAGATGACACCACCGCCCTCACCAAAATGGCGGCTCCCAACCTACTCCTTTTGCTGTTTATACCCTCTATACACACGTTATATATAAGTATCTACATTTGTGTTCACCATAACGAACCACTAAGCTGGTATGGTGAGTGCAGCCAATAAAAGGTGGCCACACACAGTCAGAAGACAATGCCACCATCCTCCCTCCCACAGCATTACTCCTCCCTCCATGGCGCACAGCGCTAAATATCACCACAATCCTGCTATTATCAGAACCCTGGTCAGTTTTATCACAGTCAGGGGTCTTCTGTAATAATATCATCGCTACATAATAGCATGAACAAGTATATTATGGCATTTTTAGGCAATGCTGTGGTCACAAGCTGAACAGCAGTGCTGTTAGCTCATGCTGCATGCGTCAGGCTTGGTAGCTCACTCAATACTGAGGCCCCTAACACCCTGGAGTTTGGCCCATGATTTAAAAAAAAAAATGGCGTCTGTTTACAAGAGCCCTGATGAAGGTGTGGTGAAATCGTGCGTAGTACTCCAAAGCATCATATGATGCGATGCGCAATTTACTGCAAGTCGGTCAAAGTATCATATGATGCGATGCGCAATTTACTGCAAGTCGGTCAAAGTATCGTATGATGCGATGCGCAATTTAAGGGTTAATGTTATACTCCACCGCCGTGTCGCTTGTCCACGCAGCCCGTCCCCCTTCCCAGGAGGGTGAGGGGGGAGACCCCAGACCCCCTGTGATGGCTACTCAACCCCAGTTCAGAGGCTAAGCATAAAAATAACAGCATTAAATGTAATGAAACGCCATTTTCTGGGTGAGACCCAGAGGCTACCCGGAGCTTATCCAGGCTGATATGCTAATGTCAGACTTTGGCATCAGTCATGTGTATAGAATTCTGTGGGCCTACTGGGGACCAGGAGCCAGAACCTGCCCCCCCCCCCTCCTCAGAGAGGCAAGGGGAGCAATAACCTACAGAAAACCCTGTGTGGTTGAAAGCATTCTATGTCTGCCATCGACTGGGTCAGGCATCCAGAAAGGTAAGCATCCCAAAACAAACCTCTATTCTGGTGAAAATTGCTACCAAAAGCCAAACAAGTGGATAGAACTTCCCCAAAGGAAATTAGCAAACGAGTATGACATCACACGTTACTGCGCAGCTTCCCCCCCCTCCCCGGGAAAGGGAAGGGGGAGCCCCAGACCCCCGTGCCGGCTATCCACCTGTCATTTCGGAGGCTGGACATAAAAAAACGTGAAAAAACGCTGACCGGAGGGAGGGAGGGATGTCAGGGAGCCTCCGGGTCTCACCCAGAAAATGGTGTTTCATTACATTCAACACTGGTTTTTTGGAGGAAGCCTCTTCGGCTCCCCGGAGCTAACTACCCACAGAGGAAAAGAGAGGGACTTACCCGGGAAGCGGTCACTGCTCACTCCTCAACCCGAAGTCAAGACAACTGGCTGCAACCACCGACCCAAGGCAAAACAGGCCCAAATAGGCCCAGGAATGTTCATGAGATGCTGAGCAGCCAGGACCCTGTTCGACCACCAAACTCCCTGTGCCCGAATGTCAGCCCAGGACACGTTGCCAAAGACGGCAGCAAGAGCAGCGAACGTATGAAAGTCATGGGCACGGGGATAGATTGCAGGCTGGCTAGCCTTAATAACCCTGCAGACAACCTGGGAGACCCGTAACCACGAACAGGGAAGAAGGGAAACCAGATCAACCCAAAGAGCATCTCTGGACATCGAAGCCGTGGCGCGCAAAGAACGGCGAAGGGCCGTAACCAGACACAAAACATGATGCACCCCCTGGCCTGACCAACCAAGCATCAACAACCCAAGGACCCCTCCTAAATGCAGCAGTCTTATATTTTGCCAGAAAAGAAGGAGATGGCTGCAGACGAACAAACCGATCGCCATGACTGAAAGATCAGAAACCCCTGCGCCGGAGAGCATGAAGCTCCCTGACCCAACCCCTAGGCCAATGCCAACAGGAAAAGAGCCTTCGAGAAATAAACCGGAACCAAAGGGGCCACAACAAACCGAGGAGAAGAGAAAAAAGAGCACCCGGTTCAATGATTAGGACGGCTCAGACGGCGCATGAGCAGGCCAGAGGAGAACAACGCATGAGACAGCTTGCTGAACGATGCAGAAGTTACAGCAATACTGAACACAAGCTGCAGCGGCTCCACCAGCGCCGCACGATACGAGGCGACAGTATGTGGCAAGATGACAGCCCCGAACCTCCACAAGAGAAGGACAAGCCGACACCAACAAAATGCAGCCACCTAAGAAGGGACAGAAGGAAAAAGGAAGGACCGCCAAAAAAAACTACACTGCCGCCAAGAAAAAGCACACAGGTGGGACACCATCAACGAAGCCACCTGACCACCAACCGAAGGTGAGAGACTCGAGGCAGAACTGAACCAGCACCGCCATGGACCAATCGACCCTAGGAAGAGGCGGAGCCACGGGAAGATCTCGGGTGCGACCACCGAGCAAGCAGAGCCAGAAACCCAAGGCAAAGAAGGAGATGGAATGTCTGCCAAACAGGAAACTGTTTGGCCCTACAGACGCCAGCGAGCTCGCCAGGAGATCGGAGACTACGGGTCCGACGCGTGACTCTAGAGAAGGAATACTGCAAGACCATGAAAATGTCTACAGGCAGGGCAAGCCATGAAAACAGGAACCCAAACCTGGCAATAGGAGAACCAAAAGGCACAAACAAAACACACAACAGTGAGTAGGATAAAATGAGAAAAAGACCAGAAGAACAGCCCCAGCACCAGCGGCTAGGGACAAGAGTGAAACAGGAAGATGAGGAATGAAGAAGGCAGGCAGCAAACAGGAATGAAAGGGACACGACCAACAGAGTTGTAGGTCCTGTCCCAACAAGTAAAACTGAAAAAGGTGCAAAGATTTGTCACCAGACTAGTACCCGAACTGAGGGGTACGAGCAATGAGGAGAGACTACGGGAAGTAAACCTCACGCCACAGGGAGACACAAGAGTTAGAGTGGACAGGACCACCACATTCAAGACCTACAGAGGATATGAAAGGGTAGAGAAAGACAGACTATTGAACACAAGGGGCACATGCATCAGGAGACACAGGTGGAATTGAGTGCCCAAAGGAGCCATAGAAACATTAGAAAGAAGTATTCCAGTGTCAGAGTAGTAGACAAATGGAACGCATGAGGAAGGGAAGTGGTTGACTCCACACACAGCTGCAAGTACAGACACAACAGACCCCAGTAGGCTCAGGAACCCGTGCACTAGTCGAATGACAGGCGAGAGGCGGGACCAAAAAGCCAGAGCGCAATCTCTGCAAACACAACTAGGCAAGGACAACTAGGTAAGCACAGAGGCCATGAAGATGTCAGGT